CATTATCGTGTTTATTTTATTCCATTTTATATTCACATAAAATACTACTTCGTGCGTAATACGTAATTTTTATTATCTCGATTATTTAAAAATTAATCAATAAAATAGTGATTTGCACAATTTGATAGCAAACGTCAGAAACTGGTATCACTGAATGGCGTGTATATGTCCGTAGGCACATTCGAGGCCCTACGCTCGCGCCCACTAACATAGTCGCGCCCACTAACATAGTGACCTTGCGTCACTTTAACGCTCGTGTTTTGTATTAGACTGCGTTTCTACTGGGTAATAATTCTATGGTCCAACTGGTATGGGGTGTATAGGTTATGTTTGTTGATTTGTGATACGCTGATTTGTTTTATTTGAATAATTGCGATGGATTACAGCAGCGAAGATGATTTTGATAATTATATCCTGGAGAGAATAAACGTGCAAAGAACGATTATCACAAGAAAAGTGATAAGTGACTTTCAAAATTCATTTGATTATTATAGTGCCAATGAATTTAATAGTCGCTACAGGTTTTCAAAAAAATATCGTAATTAATATACTTCTGCCTCTAATAAATGCATATCTTTTGAAAGTTACCAGTAGAAACCTTACAGTGCCTCCTATTTACCAGTTACTAGTGGCCTTAAGATTTTATTCATCTGGGAGTTTCCAGGTTTGTAATAATAATTCAGTTAATCTGCCTATCAACAGTTTCAAATCCACATTATTTTAATAATATTTATGCATAATTACCTATAATAACAATACCAATCACTTCTTTTAACTGAAAGAAAACAACACGTGTTATTATTTGCACAAATTTGACAACGAAACAAACAGAAACATAAAATGTAATTTAGAGATTGATCTGTCATTCAATTCGAGTGAAGTTACGTCACAACGTTAACCAATCATGGCGTCCCATTCAGTGCTATGTGTCCGTACAACAAAGGGTCCACTAACTGGCGGATGCAGTGAGAAATACCCAAGAAATACCTTACTTAGTGTTGCTGCCATACTTATGTATGTGTCGTTCGTAAACACGGGTCTGTTTGCTCGCTTGTCACGCTTATCCTATATAAAAAGCCAAGGTAGGACAATGAGCCGTTTCTTTGTTGAAATTTTGTTTTGAGCTATTTATTAATTTAAATATTGTATACGATTATATATATATATATGGTCGTAGAGAAAGTTTCTTCGTATTTTAATACAAATTCAAGATTTTTTCTAATTTTAAATAACATTCAATTATAATATGTGTATATGTATGTACCATTTTGTTTAATAACTTGTTGCCATCGTGTAAGTAATGACATAATCCTGTTGCTGTAGAAATCTTGGGATTTTTGATTAAAAAAATGCTACAAGTAGTTTTGAAAGACCTCTCTTGATGTTTTTTTTTTTGATTTTCCAACAAGGAGTAAACCGTCCTTGTTGGGAATTTATTGACAGTTTTACACAGTGAGGTTTACATAAAATTGCTTAAAACATATTGCATGTATTGTTAATCACTAAGACAAGATAACGCTACATCAATGCGATTTGATAGATTGATGGGGTATCAATCTTCATCATATTATCACTTACATATTTATTCTACACAAAATGAAATTAATAGTAACAAAGAAAGATCTATTGTTCGTATGTATACTCTAAACATTATAACTTAATTTGCAAATTATAAAAAAAATATTATGAACACAGGTTAAATGAAAGGGATTGCCTATAGAAATACAAAATAATATAAGTAAAATACAGGGTATTCTTATATCTATTGCTTATAATTTGTCTTTAGCTAATGATTTGTTAGCAATCATTAATATTAATATCTTATAGTCGAAAATTGAATCTATGTGTCATAAACTTGTTCAAGTGCGATTAGCTTGTGAAAGATAATTATTATAAAGTTGTGTATAGCTATGAGTATATACAATTTGTAATGAACTTAAAATAAGTAGTTTAAATGCTTTATCTACATATTATTGTATCCTTAAGAATAAAGATAAAATTAGAAAACGAGGAGTAATAATTATATATGTTATCTTGAAATATGAAACTAAGGGGAAAATTTATACACATTGTCTATATCTTTTAGTTACAATTTGTTGAAAGCTTTTAAGCTTATCTATAATGGATTTGGTAAATATAACGAAGGATTCAGTTGTACTTTGTTTATCCAAGAGTTTGGTCAGATGGTATGGTGGGATACGTAAATTGCTACAGAGCATCTCATGTTTTATTTTATTATACTCAAACCTAGGGCAGTCCCTCAACAAATGAGTAATTGTTTGAGGAGTGGTATTGTCACAAGGACAGAAGGGATCAGCGGCGATTTTGAACCTATGCAGATATTCCTTGTGGTAGCCGTGACTCGTTGAAACCTGAGTTATTTGAAATGATACTTTGGTTGCTTTCCACAGTGCACAAATGTCCGTCAGTTTTGGGAGTAATTCTTTTGTATGCGTTCCTTGTTCAGCGCTTTCATATCTTGACTGCCAAGTTCTCCAAGTGTTTGCTCTCATAGTCCTTTTTACAAATCTCATCGGGAATTTCGCATAATCAGGGTTTTTATGTTGCGTGGCAGCACCCTTGGCAGTCTCATCGGCGATTTCGTTACCTACGTTGCCTGCATGTTCCTTAAGTCATGAGAACATGATATTAAGGTCCATTTGGGCCGCTGTGTATATTATATAATGGGTCTTTGCCACAATGGGATGGGTGTTGGATCTCATTTGGAGTGCGCTTAATGCAGCCTGAGAATCACTCAAGATCTGAATAACCTCCTTTCGGTATGTGTGCATCCTTTTGCCTCTTTGATGTGTTTCATCACCTTGATTCAATCTCCGGTCCAAAGTCTACTCGCAGGCCTCTTTGATCGCTAAGAGCTCCGCTTGAAATACAGAGCAGCTTGTGTGTAGTTTCAGTCTTTTTTTATGTATTTCTTTTGAGCCTTCAAAGCAGACGAAAACCACTCCTACACTGCCATCCTCAAGCTTGCTTCCATCTGCGTAAATTTGAATAAGGGATGTCTCTTGTTCTTGATCCCCTGATTTCAGGTCTGCACAATCAATGCTTATCCTCTTTGAAGGATGTAATAGCTCATGTACGGGAGTGGGCCTTTCATATTGTATATCCCTTGGTAATAAGGTGCTGGCGCCCTGTAGTCGAACTGTCCCAACTTCATGTACCTCAAGGACTTTGAGGTCCAAGGGCGCGAATTGAGCCAGAGGGACTGCCGCCACAGTTGACACAGTTCTAAAGGCCTTGATTGCTTTTATCGCAAATCCCCTTTGTGCCGACTCCAAAAGCTTCCTTACATATCGCTTTTTCGCAGCTTGACCCCAGATGCCTGCCGCGTATGTAATTTTAGGCTCAATAATCTGTCGATAGATAGTTTGTACGTTATCAAGATGGGCTCCCTAGGTTGGTGGGGTGTAAATACATAGTTTGTTGAAAATTCTCATCGCCTTTCCGATAACGTACTTAACATGATCAGCGAATAGGAGCTTCCGGTCGATGATCACACCTAAGAACTTAATGCTCCTTTGAAATGCTAAAGTGTGTCTCCCCATTATAAGGTGGGCTTCCTCCGCCTTGCGTGTGAACGCAATCGCTTGCATCTTAGTGAGTCCGAAGGTCAATTTGACACTTTGCTCCCATTCCATGATGATTTTCAAAGCACGGTTGGTGTTTGTTTGTAAAGTATTTACATCCTTTGCGGAGACGATAAGTAAGGCATCATCCGCAAAGGCTTGCAAACGACATCCACTTGGAAGTTCAGCCTCAAGTAACTCATCCAGAATCACGTTCCACAGAATGGGTCCGCATGCCGACCCTTGGATGCAGCCCTTAGTGTTGCGCTTAGTGACCCGCGCTCCTGCGTATTCTAATGTAACTGTGCGGTTCGTCATATAGCTCTCTATTAAATGAAAGATGTTCTTGGGGCATCGTATTGCACGTAATCTCTCAAATAGTGTGGGCCACCACGCGTTGTCAAACGCGAAGCGGATGTCAAAAGAAACGCCCAGCACCTGTTTACCTTTCTTCTTAGCTACTTTTACGATGCTGAGCGCTGTGTCTATGGCTGCAGTCGTGCTGGTCTGTTCTTTGAAGCCAAACTGACGCCTGTTGAGTAGTCTCGCCTTAGTTGCACAATATGTGACCCGCTTGATGTACAATTTTTCGAGCAACTTTCCAAAGACCGACAAGAGCCCTATTGAGTGGACGGAACCCAGTTCGCTATAATCAGTCTTGCTCGGCTTTGGTATGATTTTGACTACCGCTCCTTTCCACTGTTGAGGGAAATGTTGAAGCTCTAGACACCTGTTCATGATTCCCGTTATAAGTTCTGGGTAATTAAAAGTGAACTGTAGGAATATGTCAGATGTAAGACCATCAATGCCGGGTGCTTTATTGGGGTTCATCCACTTAAGATGTTCTAAAACCTCCTTAACAGCGAAGGGCTTCATATACTCCATCCGGCTCATTCCCGATTCTGGATCTAAGATACTGGTGTTGGTGCGTGTCATCATCCAGTGTATCGTCATCGTAGAAGTGATTCAAGAGTGCTTGGGCAGTCTCCATTTTGCTGTTGGTGTAGTTGTCACCAATTTTCATGGTGGCTGGTGGTCGCTTGGGTGCAGTGTCCTTCAGGAGTCTATTCGTGAGAGTCCAAACGTTTCCTTTTGTTTGTAGTTCGCAAAACTCCTTAAAACTCCTGGAAGACTCCGCCCTCAGTTCTTCCGCATATAATGCTTTTTTGTTTTTTAACTCCTCTGCCAAATGGTCTAAAGGAAGATTCTGACGTCTCATTCGGTTGAGTCGGTGGTGTAACTGGATGACCTCCTTTTTGAGGTCCGTCAATCTTTCCGTCCACCATAGCGGGCGATACTTCGTTAGGGATTGGCCTTTCTTCGGAATAGATTCTTCACACGCTTTATGAATTACCTCACAGATGTCGTCAATCAAGTTTTCCAAGCCAGCTGTATTAAGCGATCCGATGTCTCTCTTTAATATGTATTGGTCATAAGCGTGTGAAGTGCATCCTTGAATATTCCCCGATTGGCCTTGTTACTGTTATATTTAAATATGGAGTTGGTTATTGATGACGAATTTGAGAAAGAATTCCCAATTTCAATCTCGTATTCCACAGCGTTGTGTTGCGACGAGGGGCAGGCGCTGAGGTTGACCTTCCACCCGACTATACGGTCATATATGTATCCATGCGCCAATGTGAGTTCTATTATAGAAGTCCGATCCCTGTCGTGTGTGACGGTTTCAAAAGTGGGTGAGCTGTCGACATTGCAGATAAAGAGGTCATTTGCATATGCCAGCTTCACCACCGCACATCCTCTGGGGTTGTTGGTCTTACTGCCCCATATGTGATGCCATCCATTGAAGTCACCACCTATAATGGTATTGGGGCATCGGGAGGTTTGGAGAAAATTATCTATGTGCTCTAAAGTATTATTGCCGTCAGAATCCGGCTCAATATATGCGGAAGCTATTAGCATTTTTTAGCCGCCGCTCGTGAATTGAATAACGCAAAAATTTGTGTTGGAGTATTGTGACATGCCTAGTACCTGGCCACAACCTGGTTTGGTGAGTATACAAGCCTTGACTCTGCCTTTTTGACTAAATTGGTATATGTTGAGGCCCTGAATTGGTCGCACCTCATTTCCTGAGCCAACATATGGCTCCGCCAGCAACGCAAAATTGATAATCACCTGCCATGAAAAAAAATATTCGTGTAAACTTTTTTTTGAACGGTCAATATTACACTGTATAATTTTTATATTTTCATTGATTAAATCCATAGTCGATTCTGTTATTTATTCTTTCCCTCATGGCTCTCAGTTTTGGACATTCTGGTGACACGGCAGCGTGGCGGACATCCGCTTTGCTTCCAAATTTATCATTGTGAAATGTACAGTTGGCAAATTTGACTATGCCTTGTTTTCCCTTATAAGTACATTTGTCCCCCGTGTGATCCTTCCTGGAGCAGTGCGAGCATTGGCTAGTAGTAGCCGTACAGTATTTTTTAATGTGCCCAAACTGCAGACATCTGTGGCACTGTAGAAAGGGTAAGGATTCGCTAACGTGCAGTCGCTGGTAGTCGACGTTAATCTTGCCCTGTACCATGAGTTTATGAAAGAGTTTGGGCGCCACAAGAAACATTGCATTGTATAGCTCTGGATTTTTGTTACTACGCCTAAAACGGAGACGCATGTCATCCTCCTCAGTAAAAGCCTCTTTCAATTCTGGGTTCTGCCTCCTGACGATACCAACTCTCTCTTCAGCTGGTATATCTTTGGAAATACCCTTTAGTACAATCATTGGCCGCAGTCCCTTAGCCGGCTCAACGCTAACGTGCTCAGATAATTTGAGTTTTTGTAGGGTGTCGTCACGTTGTTCAGTTGTGCCAAATTCAAACCTGAGTTTGTGATTTGGCACTGCCTGAACCCTAGCCGGCGCATAATTTGCAGTTCGATATGAGATGCTCCTCTTAAATGCCTCGATTGCTTCCTGCCGAGATTTGGGGGTTACTTTTGGAGTCACCACGATGGCTGGCTTGTTGACAGGTGGATCGCGGGCTGGTGGCCCAGCAGTCATATTGGGATGAGTGCCTGGCCCTCTGCTAATCGCAGCGGCTTAGGCGTGTGAGGCCGTTGCCACGTCGTGCCTGCTGTTGAAGCTGCGTGGAGATTTGGCCCTTTAATTTGACCATCTCGCTCCTAACACAGGCGACAATATCAGCCTTTAAGTCGCTGTCCATTTTGCTCTGGGATGGGTTGTTATCAGGGGCGAACACTGTTGACATGCTGGTTAGTTTATGCCCACACCTTCTAATCTACTCGGCTGCTAGGTTGATGAGTTTCTTATTTGCGGCAGTGACGGACTTGCCGCCAGAGACCGCTTTGATAATGCACTCAGTGAGTTTTTGGATAGTCGTGATAAAGGTGTCCATGTCGGTTATTTCCTCAACAGAGGCCAGCAGGAGGATGGAAGTGGCCTTACTGGCAAGACCCTTAGTTGTAGTAGCCATCTCGCTAATTAGATACTCCTAATATTAAAAGGCACTCGCCTTTAAAAAAAAGAGTACAAATTATCAAAAAGATAAATAAAAATAAAGTGTTTATATCTCAAAGGGGGTGATCCCGCTTCAGAAAATCACTTCACTATTAGCACTATAATGTGGTGTCATTTTATAGTTACAAAGTTCACATACAAAATAAAAATAAGTTTTAAACTATATGAAATCGACAACTCATTCATTTTTTTAAACACCCTCTATGTTGCAGTCAGTAAAAAAAAAACTGTATAACTATATTGTAAAGTCAATAGCAGTACATAACATTGACAATAGACGTCGCCATTGATATATGATAGCAATTTTAGCGTCCTAATCAATTCCAATTATTCAACCGCCACTTTTAAAGTTTTTTTTTGTTTAATTTTACTTATTTATTAATTTCTTTAACGTTTGAATGTTATTTGTTTGAAGTACTAGTCACAGAATATTTTTGTATACTTTTATTGATCTTATAGTATAATTTTTTTTTTAATTTGACGTTAGATCACCGTAGGTACACTTATTGCATATTATTGTGATAATTAAGTCTCTTAATATTGAGATAACACTTGCAGTTATAGTCCACATATACATAAAGAACACAAACGTAAAATACACATTTATTTTTTTTAAATAACTTTTTACTGACTTTATAAACACAGAGTCGATATATACACAGGCGGTGCAGCGCCCTCTTCACCCCTCTCTTGATGTTAGCCTACCTTTTATATTGTGAAGAAATCCTCGTGGATACCTTTAGCTGCAGTAACAACAGAAAGGTTATGCCGGACTCCTACCGGCCAAAACCCCACGGTGGTCAACATCAGCGTATATGAGGGGTCCCGGGATTTCCGTTCGGAGCGCAACCGGGGCCCCTCTCTCACTTTGCTCAATTAAAACACATCGTGGGGGCAGTCCTTACTGCTCCCAGCACCCTCGAAATGCTATCACGGTGCTCAAGACCGACTTTCGTGTCACCGTCCTCCTCAGGTGTTACATCACTAGGCGGCGTTAGGCGGGTTACGAACGCTCGTGGCGGGGGCTCGGAGCATTCGTTACCCCCGGGGCTATTTCTGGTAGGGGAACACCATCATCAAGGGCAGGACCGTGATGAACGCCTTGGCGACGTCGTCTCCGAGCGGGATCTGTCTTCTCCCGACACCGTTCAGCAGCCTCCTTCTGATTAATAACGGATTCACAGAAGACGGCTACGGCCCTCCACGCGGAGTCCCTGCTCAGCATCGCCGACATGACTGCTGGCAGGGAGAGATTCTGAACGATCCGGCTTACCAGGACCGTCCGCTCCCGTTTTCACGCTGGGCATGTTGCCAGCATATGGGATGCGGAGTCCTGTTCCTACCCACCGCAGTGGAAACGGTTCGCCGTCGCGTCCAATCTTACACAAATAATCACCGAAGCACCAGTGCCCTGTCATTATTTGTATAAGGTTGTAGGTGTGTTTTCCTGTTCCTATATGCATCCTGGCTTCAAAGTGCGGCAGGATTGCTTCAACAACGAGTTTGCGCGCATAACGCCCTTCGGAGAGGCGAGCACGCCACGTTACGAATACGTTAAGTCGTTCCTGCCTCTTAACTCCTTCGAACACCTCATCTGGCTCACTGCTGAATATAAGCCTCTCGTTAGATTGCCTCATAGAGGTAGTATATATGTTTTAACCACATTTGGCACATTTGGCAGGCAGGGTTAACATTAGTAGTTTCTTTTTTATTATTTTGAGTCTTTATCAGTAAGATTCTGGTGTCTATCGTCTGTTTTATTTTCCGTCTGTTACCTCTACCCATAAGATGATATGGAAAAGTTGATGCTCTTACGCTGCCACTTCACTGCGGAAACTCGGAAACAAACTTTTAAAATTCAGTTCAACTGTTATTGGAATCTGTTGTCACAAAGTTTTATAACACCGAAGGCAATAATAGCTGACTTTAATATATTAAAAAACGTTATAACGTTTCTGTAGAATGCCCCATTAAATAATATTTTACTTATGAAACATGTCAACAGATAAAACAATTTTAAGCTAATATGATATATTATTTCTAAAGATAAAAAAAATTTGAAAGAATCGCAGACCCTTTTTGGTAGTAACGCATTTGCATTTTAATTCTGAATTTTCATATCGCTTGATAATAATAACCCGTAGTAATGAGAAGATTGCTAACATGCTGTTTATAACGATTTTCGTGATTAATTTTATAACATAATTGTAAATTAACGTTTAGTAAAACTGCCTCTGGGCTTCTTACTGGTTCTTTACAGGAAAGAGGTTTTTCTGAAAAAAAATGGTAAAATCATTTTCAATAAATATTCTTGTAATCCATAATGAATAAAAATATTCTATTCTATTCAAATTGATGATAAATGAAGATATTTTCTATGGGCCACAGCATCCACTTACCATCCAGTGTACTCTTGTGGTGTGTGCCTGTTGCCCGACCCTTATTATGTAATAGCTATTTTCAAGATTAGCCCGGACAGACAGACAGAGAAAAGTTTCAAAATGGTTTAGCATGTAAACAAACCTTTGAGCTTAACAGAATTATACAAGTAGACAGATACTTGTAGTGGGTGGAAGGAAAAGGGGAGATCTCCCGCCGGGCAAGGTGTTCTGCCCGGGGAGCGGCCAACGCTCCAATTGATAGTTCGGAGCTATTCTATATATGCTGCTTTAATTTCGGAACTTTGATAGCGCGATTAAGGTTTCGATGTGTTTCGCTTGTGGCGCGACGACAGCGCCGCCACATCACCCCCCTGCTCAGACCGGAGGTCGATAGTGCAGTCCGATTGCCGGTACGTCCTTAATGCCGGTGGGGAATGCATGCTGTGTGCGTAAGGGCAAGTGACGCCGGTGCGAATGATATGCCGGTGTGTAATGCATGCCGTACTACGCACTTGCAAGTGATGCCGGTGAGAACGATGAGCCGGAGCAAGTGCCAGGGATTGCCTTGTAGTTGCGGTGAGTCAAGAAGAAGGCAAGTAATCTGCGAGAGTGCCGTGAAGCAGAGGCGAGCAGTAAGGCTCAGAGCCGTGCCGAACACTGTAGCGCAGAGAGTAGCTTGAAGGAACAGGAAGCATTATTATTCCAGTGCTGCGATGAACCTTTGTTAAGCTAGGTGGCTTGCAGAATGTGAAGACTGCAGACAATGTCTGCTCGGGAGCGAATGAATGGGGTACTTGAGTAAGATGACGAAGTTTTTGAAATTGTAGTTTCCGAAGATTGTTGGTTGCGTGTTCATATCACGTCGGGGTCACCACTGTAGTGGGTGGAAGGAAAAAAGGGAGATCTCCCGCCGGGCAAGGTGTTCTGCCCGGGGAGCGGCCAACGCTCCAATTGGTAGTTCGGGGCTATTCTATATATGCTGCTTTAATTTCGGAACTTTGATAGCGCGATTTAGGTTTCAATGTGTTTCGCTTGTGGCGCGA